TTACTGTTTTAATGCGGAGTTTTACAGTTTTAATGAAGAGTTTTACAGTTTTAATGAAGAGTTTTACAGTTTTAATGAAGAGTTTTACAGTTTTAATGAAGAGTTTTACAGTTTTAATGACGAGTTTTACAGTTTTAATGAAGAGTTTTACAGTTTTAATGAACACTTTTACAGTTTTAATGAAGAGTTTTACAGTTTTAATGAAGAGTTTTACAGTTTTAATGCAGTTTTACAGTTTTAATGAGGAGTTTTACAGTTTTAATGAAGAGTTTTACAGTTTTAATGAACAGTTTTACAGGTTTAATGAAGAGTTTTACAGTTTTAATGAAGAGTTTCAGAGTTTTAATGCAGATTATTTTTAATAAACTTACAGAAAATCCTGACTTTATTCTTGTTCAAGTATCAAACGTCTGCCTCACCTGCAGACAGAAGCCAGCAGCTCTGCAGCCTGACTCAACCTGTCTGCAGCTCACCTCTGCTCAGCTGGTGGGACTGGTTCCTGTCTGCTGGACACTCAGGGACAATGTGAGACACTCGGGGACAATGTGAGACACTCATGGACAATGTGAGACACTCAGGGACAATGTGAGACACTCAGAGACAATGTGAGACACTCGGTGACAATGTGAGACACTCTGGGACAATGTAAGACACTCAGAGACAATGTGAGACACTCAGAGACAATGTGAGACATTCAGGGACAATGTGAGACACTCAGGGACAATGTGAGACACTCAGGGACAATGTGAGACACTCTGGGACAATGTGAGACATTCAGGGACAATGTGAGACACTCAGGGACAATGTGAGACACTCAGGGACAATGTGAGACACTCAGGGATAATGTGAGACACTCAGAGACAATGTGAGACACTCAGGGACAATGTGAGACACTCTGGGACAATGTGAGACACTCAGGGACAATATGAGACACTCAGGGACAATGTGAGACACTCAGGGACAATGTGAGACACTCAGGGACAATGTGAGACACTGGGACAATGTGAGACACTCAGGGACAATGTGAGACACTCAGGGAAAATGTGAGACACTCTGGGACAATGTGAGACACTCAGGGACAATGTGAGACACTCAGGACACTCAGGGACAATGTGAGACACTCAGGGACAATGTGAGACATTCAGGGACAATGTGAGACACTCAGGGACAATGTGAGACACTCAGAGACAATGTGAGACACTCAGGGACAATGTGAGACACTCGGGGACAATGTGAGACACTCAGGGACAATGTGAGACACTCAGGGACAATGTGAGACACTCTGGGACAATGTGAGACACTCAGAGACAATGTGAGACACTCGGGGACAATGAGACACTCTGGGACAATGTGAGACACTCAGGGACAATGTGAGACACTCTGAGACAATGTGAGACACTCAG